TTCTATCAGATTTTTTGCGACTTTGTAGTGGTTATACAGTGCTATTGTTAGTGGTTAAAGCCACAATTTTTGAATGAATTAGGTAGAGTGACAAATGCATTCTTTTAATCTCATTTCATTCTTCAATACAGAAGGGTCTTCTAATAAAATGGGTCATGTGAAGTCAACAATTACTACAGATTTAAAAATTCGTCTACCATACCAACACTCAAGAGTTGGATTAAAATTGGGGCAAAATCGTTACTTGGCAGAAAAATGACGAGGCTTCTACAGAGGCGAAGATTGATCAAGGTCTCCTTTCTAAGTAGAAACCAAGTCCCGACCGAGTTGTCTCCTTGGCTAGTCCACACTATTGACACCTTGCTAAAAATTTGAGGTATCAAAATTTCAGTGAATTAAAAAAATAATAATAAATAAATAAAAAAAAAAAATATATATATATATAATATTTACAGTTTTTATTTTAACCTTTCATTTGCTACATTCATAGTCTCAAACCATTCAAGTGTGTGCAACTGGGGATGAGTGAATGGGATCTGATCAAATCATGGTTAGTTGACCATAAGAAAATGACTTCGACAATATTTTTAATATTTTAAAAATGCTAAAATAGTAACTTTGTATTTTCACATTAAAATAATTAAAATAATTAAACAAAAAAGGAAAAGAAAAGTTTATCTCCATCCAACCTAAACCAAACCAAAACCAAAATCACCCACCATCATTTAGGTTTTCTCGTGACTATAGCAAATTGTGGGTGCCATCACGATCATGTGGCCGATTTGGGAAAGACTATAAAGTTTCGAAGATAGGTGCGAGACTAGGGAAGAATATGAAAATTTAAAGGTTTGAGATTATCGGTAACACAAATAAAATGTCTGGGTATAATTTACAAATGAATGAAAATTTTGAAATCATAGCCGCAATTATTCCTATTTTAGTTTTAAGTAGATTTAACAGTTTTAGTAACATGTTTGGACGGTAGGAAGGTCTTTTGCACGTAATAGGTCGTCTAGGGAAATTTCTCGTCAATTTGAAAAGATAAAAGGTGTTCCGTAATAGAGGCAAAAGTCAATAAGATTTTGTGCCAATTAACCTTTAAAATGGTATCAATGACATGCTTGATCAACTAAGTGTTTGATAACCATTTTTTCAAAACATTTTTTCTTTTTCCACACTCATTTTTAGCAACATATTCTCACAATAATATATTCTTCATGTAATCTTAAAACTTTTTTTTTTAACTTTTTAATTGCATGATCTCGAAGGATTTACCATTCAAGAACTTATTATTTTCAAAAAAATAAAAATAAAAATTGTCAAATAGAGGCTAAATTAAGAAGCATGGGAATGATTAATAAAAAAAATTGAAAGGTCAATCCCTTCAAAATCAAAGTCAAGAATTACGATTGATACCACCCTTTTGAGTTAATTATCCCAATAATTACTAAACTTTCGTTTGTGTCTTTGATTATCCACTATAATTTAAATTATCGAGTTTTGACCACTGAACTTATTAAAACGTTGAACGTTACTCACTGACATAAACATTTGTTTCAAACCTCTAATGAAATTAATGACATGACTAGCAAAATGCACAAATGGCGTCCCATCACGCTATTACCAAATTGCTATGTAAGAAAACGTTTTTTTTTATTGCTCATTAATTTTTGGAAAATGTGTTCGAATACCCACTATATCACTTGAAAAATGTCTTCGATTGTTCATTAAATTGTGATGTGACCGAATTTTAGTCTCTAAACTTATAAAAATGATGTCAATCTATTGTCCGCTAAAAAGTATGTCCCACTTGCGCACAAGTAATAAAGTGAACAAATGATTTCAGATTGTTGATCTTACGATAAATAATTACTAAATTACACAATAGGTAAATTTACTCTTAACAATGAATTACACAATAAATTTGAATTTTTTAAATGATGAAAAAAATTAAAATTCTTAAAAAATAACGAAAATACAAAATAATAAAATTAAGGAAAGATCTTATATTTGTGATTTTGTAGAATATTGAGCTATTTTCATCATCTGCAAAATACAAATTTATTGTATATTTTATTGTTAAAATTAAATTTAAGTATTGTATAATTAAATAATCATTCTTTGTGGGATCGACAACTGGAACTCATTTGTCAACTTTATTACTTGTATGTGGCATGTGCATTTACAATACATATTTTTTGGCAAAACAATAAGTCGACGTCATTTTTATAAGTTTAGTGATCAAAATTCGACCACCTTAAAATTTAGTGAGCAATTAAAGATTTTTTTTTTAAATATCATAACTAATCGAAGATATTTTATAACGTTTAATGAGTAATGAAAGATGCTTTCTTACATGACAATTTGGTAATGGGAAGATGGGACGTCATTTGTGCATTTCGTTAGTCATATCACCAATTTTGTTAGAGGTTTAAAACGAATCTTATGTCAGCTAGTCACGTTTAATATTTAGATAAGTTTAGTGAACAAAATTCGACAATTTAAACTTCAGTAAACAATCAAAAATATACATAAGTTAAGTGATTTTTGGAACAACTAATTCCACCCTTTCCGAGCCAGATCCATTTGAAAAAAATATGAAAAAAAATGGCTCTAAGATTTTCATGTTCTATATATCCAATTTTTTCAACAAAATATTGCAAGATTATAAAAAATAAAAAATTTGCATCCGTAACTGGAATCTGAGCTGTACATTCAAAAGCAAGCCAGCAACCATTGATGGATTGAACAAACCAACGAACAACCTACGATCTACATGTATGTATAGCACAAGATCTGAAGATACTCTTTCCAAATTTTCAGCCTAGTCAAAATCTTCTCCACCTGTTATTTCCACCCATTTTCTCGGACTCTCTCTACCTTCCATTTTACCAATTCTTTGATTCCTCTTATCCATTTTCGAATCGGCACACTTTTTGGCGCAAATTTTGAGAAGATGAAGGAGGGGACGGGGAAAGTGGCAGTGGTGGCGGCGGCTGTGATAGGGGCCGCGGCGGCAGTGGGAGTAGCGGCTTATATTGTCAGGCAGCGGATGAAGAGCTCGGGGAAATGGGCAAGGGCTTTGGCGATTGTGAAGGAATTTGATGAGAAATGTGGGACTCCAGAAGGGAAGCTTAAGCAGGTGGCCGACGCCATGACGGTGGAGATGCACGCAGGATTAGCCTCCGAGGGCGGAAGCAAGCTTAAGATGCTCATTAGCTATGTAGATAACCTCCCTACTGGGTATTATTCTGAATTACGTCATTTATAGAGTTTCTATTCCATCTTAAAAATTCAACCTTTTCTTAATTGATTATTTTTATTTGAGTACATGTGTAAAAGTATAGATCAAATCTTTTATCTTTTTTAGTGCATAAAGAAATTTTAAAATTGTGGGATTAAATCTGCTTGTACGAGTAATTTCATATCAATCACACACAAATCTATGGATATTTTTTGGTTCTTCATAAAAATTTACATTGTTGGCATAAATTACGGGGACAAAATAAATATATGAGTTTTATCTGTGCATTTCTTGAAAAGTATTTGATGGTAAGACGTTGTTTGTTCTTAAAAGAATGTAAGTCATCAAGGGCCCGTTTGGCAATACGTATGAAAGTCAAAAGCTGCATTTGAGAATAAGAAGCTACTTTTGAATATGTTTGAACAATTTTCTGGAAGTGCTTGTTTGGCTAGAAAAGCAGTTAGAGGATGTAGCTTCCTCTTCTTCAAGAGGCAAAAGCAAAGGTAGAAGCCCTGCTAAACCAGGCCTAATTGATCCTTAGAGAGAATTAGGATTCTTCTAGTTTGGATTCACAAAGTCTGGGTTTGGGGGCTAGCGGGTAAAAAACTTGTTAACTAATTCTCTGATTATTTGAAAATGTTGCAAAAGATTCGATAAATGTGAGATTGTATTATTACTAGTCTTGGACTTAAAACTCTATTTAGTTCAATCTCTTCTTTACTTGCTTCAGTAATAAACATATCATTTCTTACTCTCTCACTTCGGGATATGGAACTTGATTTCGTGCTTTCAGGCATGTGGGCTTTTCTAGATGAAGTTAAAGATTCACTTTTCTAGAAATCAGGACTAAAGATAAGAAACTGACGATTGTAATGCTGAGCGGAGCATCCATAAATCTGGAAATAGATTCTTTTGGACTTTGATTAAATGTATGTTTTGTTAAATGACTAGCTAAACACATCTTTCCCTTATCTCAGTGATGAGAACGGAGTTTTTTATGCATTGGATCTCGGTGGAACAAATTTCCGTGTATTGAGAGTACAATTGGGAGGGAAAGAAGTTGGTATTGTTCATCAGGAATTCACCGAGGCATCAATACCCCCAGCTCTGATGGGTCAAACTTCAGATGTAAGCAAATATTCCTTTTACATTATTCCTTTTAGTTCATTTGGTCCATATACATAATTCTGATTTTTCTAGAACCTTTTGATTTCAGGCCCTTTTTGATTATATAGCAGAAAAACTTGCAAATTTTGTCGCCGAAGAAGAACAAAGGTTTCAACAACCTCCTGGTAGGCAGAGAGAACTAGGCTTCACTTTCTCGTTCCCTGTCATGCAAACTTCAATAAACTCTGGTAATCTCATCAGGTGGACAAAAGGCTTCTCCATTGATGATGCGGTATATTTTTTTTTCTCTTAAGCATATTTTGCTTAGTTTATATACTTTAATTCATTAGTTTGGCGGCAATTAAAATATCAATTTTTTGAGAATCTTATGTGAAAACTTTTCTCTTTTTCAGTAGTTTTATTTGATTGCAATTTCCAATTATTTATTTCTCAATCTCCCCGAATATGTATGTGATGCCTGATTTATAGTCATGGAATTTACTGCTTTGCTGTCTTTCAAGCAATAATTCGTTTTCCAGAAAAATTCAACCTTGATCATCACCTAGTAGTTCATCGTTTTGATGAGGTCAGACTGCGGGGCGAGAGAAAGTTTAACAAAAGTGTAGGACGTAACAGGTAAATTGGCAGTTACTAATCATATCCAAAAGGATATCTCAGTCTGATGCGGTCTATTTACTCCAAAATAGATCTACACTCGACTTTTTTTGTCTTGCTTTTCCCTTTACATTGAGAAACAAAACATTGTAATGCTGTTATGGTCTGAGGTTTGCATTTGCTGTCCTCCACTTGCTTGTATGGAATCTGGTTTTTGCCTCTGCAGCATTGCACCTCTTTAGAATAATTATACCAAAAAAGACATTTCTGTTCAGTAAATGAACCTTACCTGGAATATTCATCCTTGGGATGATTTTCCAGTTCATACACAGAATGCATTATTTGACTCCAGAGTGGCTCAAACCTTATGTTTCAATCCTGGCAATTCCATTGTTATAGGTTGGCCAAGATGTGGTAGCTGAACTTACGAAAGCCTTGCAAAGAAAAGGTGTTGAAATGAGGGTGGCAGCTCTGGTAAGTTTCAGCATTTTTCACTCTGCTTAAAACACCTACTTCTTTGACAGCAAGTAAAGACTTCACTGTCAAAAAAATCTGAACTGAAAATCCAAAAGAAACTTATTAAGAAAACCTCAAACACGTTTGGCAAAAAAGTGGCTTAAAAGTAACTTTTTAAAGTTAGACAATCGGTCTCTGTATTATTAAGCTCCGGTTTGGGCTCATTGAAAATAGATTTTGAGGAAAAATGTATTTTCGAATAGCTATTTTTTGGAGAATGTGTGGTTAAAAAATAAGGAAAAGTTTTGGGTATCGTGTAATATTATTTTATTGAAGAATGTGTTGTTAAGAATAAAAGAGAGAAAAGTACATTTTCTAAAAAATGGAGCCCAAACAGAGGCTAAATGTCACAAGGATCCCATATTTGAATATTATTGTTTTGTTAATTATGCTGTCCTATACGAATATCATTTTAATTTCTAATTTCAGATGTACATGCATGATATTTTTGCTAGGTGAATGATACAATTGGAACATTGGCTGGAGGCAGATATACCAATAAGGATGTTGCTGTTGCTGTTGCTGTGATATTGGGTACTGGAACTAATGCAGCATATGTAGAGCGTGCTCAAGCAATTCCGAAGTGGCACGGTCCCCTGCCTAAATCTGGAGAGATGGTTAGCAAATTTTAGATGGCTGATTATTTGCTTTATATCTGCAATACCCTGTGTGGGAAAACCAGAAACAGGCACGGTTAGCTTACAACCTGTTCAATTAAAAACCAGGACAAATACCTGTCAATCACTAATTCAACCACGAACTGTTGAATTGGTCCAGATTTTAAAATCGATTTTTTCTTTTTTCTCCAAAAAAAAAATAAAATTGTTTGGGAGTGATTGAGCCTTTACATATATCAAGGTTATGTCATTATCAATATCCTTGATATCATAAAAACATTATCGTTTATTTTAGTAATGAGAATTTAACTTTTGTTTGTACACTTTTTATATGCATATGCATATTTATCTAATTAACTAATTACTTTTGGCATCCGGTTCAACTTGAACCCAAGCCCAGTTCAACCCTTTTGACCATTGATCCTTCACCTTTCCTTAAATAAGGCCCGGGATGGGTTTTAAAACATTGGTGGAACCTGGATTCTGCTGTGATTGACATTCTGCTTACACTATTACAAGATGTTGGGGCTTAAAAAGTCATAAATAATTATTAAATCTTAATCCTTTTAAATGCAGGTTATCAATATGGAGTGGGGTAACTTTAGGTCATCCCATCTTCCATTGACGGAGTATGACCATGCATTGGATGTCGAAAGTTTAAATCCTGGTGAACAGGTGATAACTTTTCCATGCATATTCTATTTCATTTGTAGTTTTCAGTTAAGATTCAATTTAATAAGATTGTTGTACAACAATGCAGGTGCAATTCTTAAATGCCTCACCACTGTTTAAAATTTGCAATGCGTTTACCCAGGACTGGAATTTGCACTCTATTTAACTGACTACGTCACCTATTTTTTCAGATATTTGAGAAGATAACTTCTGGCATGTACTTGGGAGAAATTTTACGCAGAGTTCTACTAAAGATGGCTGAAGAAGCTGCTTTCTTTGGTGACGAGGTTCCACTGAAACTTAAAATTCCATTTATATTGAGGTACCCTAAAGACTTGAATATGCTTGTTACTTTCATTGCAGTAAGATGATAGATTTTGAAACTAATGGGTATCTCACTAAGTCAGAAGCCATCCAGTTTTAAGTGCTTTGTGAAATTGGTGTTTTTGGCCTAATATTGTCAATGTGGTTAACACATTTCTAAAAACATTTATTTAATGGATTTTCCATCACCGGGTCTAAAATGAAGCTTGAAGAATTAACTATATCATTTTGAGATTTTTTCTTTGATGGTGGAACCAAAACTGAAAATAGATGAAGTGGAAAAAATGAGATTGCAAATGCAACAAGAACTCAAGATACAATTTGCCTTTAGAAGGGTAGCGGAAACCATTGCCTGCAGTACCTTATAGGTATGCATCCGCCTTTGCATCTAATGGATTGATTTCATTCCCTGAGGATATTAGTTACGTTATTGGACACTAGATAATGAACATGATTTTTACTTCTTTAATTCCTTTTTTAACCTTGTCCAGTAAAGTCCAATCCAATATACCAAACACGCTAGCATTGTGAAATCTTGATATTGCTTTCTGTTTAGGATTATATAGGTTTGTGTAGGTTTTATGTAGACATAATTCTTAGTTCTCCTTTTCATGCACGAATTGGGGTTCATTTGTTTTTTAGATTTTACATTTCCCATCTTTACATGTTATATTTTCATTGAAATTTGAATTCATACTCTTGAAACAAGTTAAATTTGGAGTTATAAAATCATGCAGGACGCCGGAAATGTCAGCAATGCATCATGACACGTCCTCTGATCTTAGGGTGGTGGGCAACAAACTGAAGGATATACTAGAGGTGTATTTCATTTCCTTACTAAAATACTGCCTTTTTTTGTTGATTGTATCTAATTGTTCCATTCTTTTTCTACCTTTTTTTAGGATGAAACTTGGAGGTCATAATCTAATTTGAATTTTTGATTCCTAGTTGAACACTGAGTATATTTATTTTCCTGTCACTACGTCAAACTAGATCCTTAATAGTGTAATTACGGTAACCTTTATGTCTTCTCATAAGTACATTCACAATGTTTTACATTGTTCTCCTAACTCAGATATCTAATACCTCCCTGAAAACAAGGAGAGTTGTGGTTGAGCTCTGCAACATTGTGGCCACGCGTGGGTCTCGGCTTGCAGCTGCCGGGGTTCTGGGCATCCTAAAGAAAATGGGACGGGATACTTTGAGGGAAGGAGGTCCACAAAAGACTGTCATAGCCATGGACGGTGGACTGTATGAGCACTACACTGAATACAGTAAGTGCTTAGAGAATACATTGCGAGAGTTACTCGGGGAGGAAACTGCATCAAGCATTGTCGTCGAGCATTCAAATGATGGTTCGGGCATTGGTGCTGCTCTTCTTGCAGCCTCCCACTCCTTGTACCTTGAAGAGAATTTGTAAGAAAATTCCCCACCTTTTCCCGAGAAAACTGCATCCATCATGAAGCTACTATTCGTTTAAATTTCGCGATTGCTTTGGATTTATTTCCAATTCTTTTCCATAGTTTAGGAATCCAATATTTATCTGGAAACAATATATACCGAATTAGATATAAGTGAGAGGAGCTGGAAGTAGCCTCTTCTCTTCCAATGAGAGTTTTTTATTAATTCAAGAATCTTTAGTTATTTTTTGATTTCATCTGTCATAGAGTGCCTCAATTTATGGTCGATTTTTATGACATATGCAATGGGAAAAGAGAGATTGTGGAATATCTCAAAGTGGTCTCTTTTTGTATAAATTTTGTTAATACTGTGTATCAAATATGCTGTAGTATTTGTAGAAGGGGAGGGACGTGTGGGTTGTCGGGCGAGCCGTATTTTTGCCACTTTGTGGAATACTGCGTATCAATTTTATTCTGCTTATCTTTACTTTTAAAAAGCGTCCAAAAGGCCTAAAATTCAAGAAAAAGGTAAATTCACTCATTCTCCCGACTACAAGAAGTGCAGGAAATAAACATAAAATTAGTCTACAATTATAAATTTGTTATAGTAGCAATGTTAAAAAATCCATTTAACTGTGCATCAAGAAAGAGCCTTCCCTGTTTGCTCCACCTGGGAAGGAAAATAATTGACATTTGTAATTTTTTAGATTTTCGATAGTCGACCCTTTATTTATTGATAACGAAAAGTGTGAAAAGAAAACTCGCGGGACAGTGTTGTGAGTTCAGAGCGGGGGCGGACTCACATGGGGTCATGTGAGGTCAAATGACCTCACAAATTTTTGGAATTTATTATTATTTTTTTTAAACTAAAACCTAACAACTACCCTCTCCAATTGCCAAACTCAATTTCTCAATAGTAGCCTACACTTGTGAAAAGCCCAAATCCAATCACTATATCCATATCCATAATCTTATTCTCATAATCCATTTACTCATTTATCCAAATTCATAATCTCATTCCCATAATCCATTTACTCATTTACACAAATCCAATACAACTTATATAATGAGTTCCAATATTCCCAAATCAAATCTCATTTTTTCCAAATTGCTAATTGCCAAACGTGAGTCGTGAGTCGTGACTCATCTTTCTTTTTTCACTCGTCTTTTCCACTTTCCAGTTTTCTCTTCGCCATTGGACCTCCACCGGGCCGTCCCTAAGCGGCTCTGCCCCTATTGCTACTCAATTACGGACTACAGTGAAAATTTTCATTTTCGACCCCACAGTTCAAAATGTCCGAGTCCGCCCCTAGTTCAGAGCTTTTTAAATTGCGTAGTCTCTTCACAGTTGATACAAATATGCAGCCATACATCGGTTACATATTAAGCAGTCCAATTTTCCTCAAAATATGCCTTGCTATTGATCTCTTACAAATTTTAGCCTTGCTATGGATTAATGGGTAGTGAAAAAGAAATTATTTCTTACAAAAGAACAAAAAGATTATGCACTTTGTGCTTAGACAAGAAATGCATGACTCGCTCTTATAATATACAAGATTTTATTTGTTTATTCTTTATTAATACAGTTTAACATTGTCTACTCTACATCACCAAATAAGTTACCATTGCATGTTAATATCGAGAGGATGAGTACTATTAGAGCTGTTGATTATTGAAGACTTTTGGTTTTCTCCACATAATGAAATATGAAGAGTGTTAGAGAGGAAGATGAAGAGATGGATGCATTCACCATCATTATTAGTCATTATTATTCTTCGTAATTGTGTGACTCTTAGTAGTCTTATGCTATCCTATAAATAGGTTTGTCATGTACTCAAATCAAATAATTCATATATAAAAAAAAAGTTTCTCTCAAAATATACTTTGTTCTGTTCTTATTACTGAACTGATCCGGTCTTGATAGAATCTATCCTTATTTCCGCTGCATACTAAAATCACAATCAGAACAAACATTTGGTATCAGAGTACTCCTGATCTTAAAGGCCTGTGAGAAAGAGGAAAAATGGCAAATTCTACTCTAACTTCAATGTCTATCCCCATGATGTTTGGAGGCGAAAACTATGAGTATTGGTTTGTCAGAATGAGGGCTTTCTTGATGGCACATGATCTATGGGAGATTGTTGAAGAAGGTTATACTCCACAGGAGTTGGATGCAGACCCTACTGTGAATCAAATGAGGCAAGAGAAGGATCGTAGAATAAAAAATATGAAGGCTCTTACCTTCTTGCACTCTTCTGTCACTGAGACAATTTTTCCCAAGATTGTGGCTGTTACAACAGCAAAAGAGGCTTGGGATAAATTACAAGAAGAGTACAAAGGGTCTGAGCAAGTGAGAGCAGTAAGATTGCAAACTTTGAGCAGAGAGTTTGAAAATCTAAGGATGAAGGATGCTGAATCCGTAAAGGACTACTCTTCTAGAGTGGCTAATGTGGTGAATCAGCTTAAATTGAATGGAGATGACGTACCAGACAAAAGAGTGGTGCAAAAAATGTTGATTACCTTACCCGAAAAGTTTGATGTTGTTACCACGGCTATAGAGCATACAAAGGATCTGTCAAGTCTTTCTTTAATTGAACTTACAGGTGCTTTGTTAGCCTATGAGCAAAGGTTAACGTCAAGATCTGAGGTAACTATTGAAGGAGCTCTTGCGGCAAAGTTTAAACCGCAAAGTTCAAGTGAAGGTGGAGGAAAACAACACCAAGAAGGGAAGAAGAAAGGCAAAGGAGACTCATTTTCTCCTTGTATTCATTATGGAAAAACCAACCATCTTGAGAAGAAGTGTTGGAAGACAAAGCAATGCAAATTTTGCAAGCAAGTGGGCCATATTGAAAAGTTTTGTAGAGCCAAAAAGCAGAATCTAAATCAGCCACAATATCAACAAAGAAATCAAAATCAGCAAGCAGCATTTGTACATGAAAGGAATGGTGAAAACCATTTGTTTATAGCTGTTCATGGAGTTGAATTGAGTAGCAAGGAAACATGGTTTGTAGACAGTGGTTGCACCAATCATATGACCAATATGGAGCAGGTTTTTGGCAATTTAGACACAAATGTGAAGGCCACGGTGAAAATTGGAAGCGGAGGAGTCCTACCAGCCAAAGGTAAGGGTACCATTGCTATCCAAACAAAGAAAGGTACAAGATATATTGATGAAGTACTTTTAGTGTCTGGCTTGGATTCAAATTTACTAAGTGTGGGTCAAATGCTTGAAAAGAAATATGCTGTGCATTTTCGAGATATGAAATGCAAAATCTATGATCCTCATGATGTTGAAATTGCTAGTTTGCCTATGCATAATAGAAGTTTTAGCATTCAATGGCATAGCTTACTTGCAAATATGTCTAGAGTTGATGTGGATGAATCTGATTTGTAGCATAGAAGATATGGTCATTATAATTACAAGTCTTTGTCATATGTGCATTCTCATGGCATAGTGAGAGATTTGCCTAAAATTCATGAATCTGGAGGAGTATGTGAGAGCTGTAGTTTGGGGAAAATGCATAGAGAGTCATTTTCTAATGATGGTGCATGGAGGGCATCTGAAAAATTGCAGCTTGTGCATACTGATATTTGTGGTCCCATGAAAACTCCATCCTTGAGTCATAATTTGTATTTTGTGCTATTCATTGATGACTTTACAAGAATGTGTTGGGTGTACTTCATGAGAAACAAGTCAGATGTATTCAATGTGTTCAAAAAATTCAAGAATATGGTAGAGGCACAATCTGGATGTAAAATTCAGACCTTGAGATCAGATAATGGCAAGGAGTATACATCTACCAACTTCAATCAATTCTATGAGGATTATGGAATTCATCGGCAGCTTACCATTCCCTACACTCCGCAACAAAAT